ATTTTGAATGACTGGATCAATGAACGCTTGCCGGTGCCTTCAACGGCACGGAGCCCACTGCTACGCCCACAGAAGCCACGCAACAAGGTAGGTCTTAAACTTCATCTCGCTGCTAAAGGCAAGATCTGTGAAGGAGTCGATTCGGATTGCCTGTGAGAAATTAGGATGCATGTTCAGAAGTGGCAGAGGACGGGAAAAGGAGGGGTGAGGAAGACAAAGAAAGAACACGGGGAATGTAGGTGAATGCTCGGGAGCAGGAGCCATGGCTTTAGGGCGTGTTTCCACCCGACCGAGATAAGCAGACGGCGCAGAGTAGCAAATATTAGAACAACATCGTATCACATCAGACCTTCACAACCTTTCCTTGAGAACAGGAAAGGGAGAAGCAGCCAGCGCTTCTCTCAGCAGGTGGAAGACTGTTAAGAAAAGGAAGAGAAGTGAATGCAGGGTCCCCGGGGCCAACCCTCTGGGAGAGACTGGCTTCTACAGCTGAAAACACTTCTCATCCAAAGGGCAAACATAGGGTTTTGAGTTCACTTCCCTGTTGTGGTGATGCCTTTCCTTAAGGCAGTCCCCTCCCCGATAAATGACCGTATTTGTAGCTCAGGTAAAGGGACTGGGGATAGGTGCGTGGACCAGCATGACGGCAGGAGGTCCAACCCGAGCCTGAACCAGGAACCCTGTCTCCTAAGTGCCACATCCGTGGATGAGCCAATTCCCAGCTTAAAAGATAAATGTCTCGAGTAGCATTCTGCGGCTGTTGAAGAACAAAAGCCAGGCTCCTCGGCCTGGTGTGGAAGGCCCCACAAATGCCGGCTACTGGGTCATGTCAGCCCCGTGTCCCAGGATTTCCTGCCCCCATCTCTGGTCACACTGAATTACTTGGGGTCTCCTGGACCCCAGGTATGGATGCCCTGGAATTTTCTGGTGACCCATTATGCTTTTGCTAATGCTAGCCACTCTGTTTAAAACACTCAGTCCTCCGTCTCCATGTGTTTCGTCCCTCAGCGGTTGGCTGAAGTTCCATCTCTGTCCATCAATCCATCTGTCCATCAAAACCTTCACCAACCATGCTGATTCAGTGCTTTCAGCTGCCAGGCACTGGGCATCAATAAACAGGAACAACTGAGCCAAGGCTGTGGGCACAGCCAGGCTCTCTGAGTTGGCATACTTTCTGGTGCTTCTCCTATGCTAATATTTTTATTTTATATTCTTTCTTATGTACTCATGTACAAGATTCTTGAATCTGATGGCAAGACATGTGCTGGATTCATTTGTGCCCTCCTCATTACAGCTACGAAGCTCGATATAATGGCATCGACCAGATGCTCAAAACGACACCTGTAGGAAGCGTCAACTCTAGCTCAGCGTCATGAAGCCAAAGAACATGTCTGCACCGTTGCCATCTCCTGTCTCCAGCGCCCGGCCCACGGGAAACACTCGGTACAGGGGTGACGCAGAAAGATGTATGGAGGGAGAGCTCTCAGTGGCTTCTCTGCTATGAAAAGCGTTCAGTACTTCAATCAAGGCCAACACAGGACCCAAACTGGAAACGTGGGGTTACACATCCCCAGGATAACAAAAGACAGTCGTATATGGCAGAGCAGGAGAAATCCCTCCTGTGACCAATACTATGCCATTCCCTATGATCCTAAATTGAAATTCTGCTCTGAGCCATATATTTAAAGGAAACATTCCAGTATCAACAAAATACCTTTCTCCAAACTAAGAAGGGTCATTCACATAGCAGCCCTAGAGATGGGCCTGGGCTCCCAGCTGTGTTCAGCCTTGCTCTGCCCTCTTTGTAACCTAGCCAGTTCTTTTAACAGCCCAGTGTCAAAGGTCAAAAGGCACAGGAAGACACTAATATAGAAGAAATTTTAAAAGTCATTGCCTGGATTACCACTCAGCAATAAAAAAGGAACACACTATTGATCTGCAAAAGAACTTGGATGAATTTCCAGAGAATTATGTTGAGTTAAAAAGGCCAATCCCAAAGGGGCATGTCAGGATGATTCCATTTATACAGACTCCTTGAAATTATAAAATTATAGAAATGGAGAACAGATTAGTAGATGCGAGGGGTTAGAAATGGGGAGTGAGAGGGAGGAGGAAAGGGGGTATGGTGATAGAGCTGTTCTGTGTTTGACTGTTATCCCTGTCAATTTCTTGGTTGTGATATTGTGTGATGGTTTTGCAAGATGTTACAGCTGATGGAAACTGGGCAAAAGATATGGAAGATTTCTCTGTATTATTTTCTTAAAAGTACGTGTAATCTATAATTACCTCAAAATAAAATTTAACTTTTTCCTGAACAGTCTTGAAAAAGACAAATAAAGTTGAAGGACTCACACTTTGTGATTTCAAAACTTATTACAAAGCTACAGTAATGAAAACAGTGTGAGATGGGTATAAAGACAGACATATAGACCAGCAGAGCAGAACAGATGGCCCAGAAGAAATCCTTGCATATCTGATGAAATGATTTTTGATAAGGGTGCCAAGACCGTTAAATGGGAAAAAGCCAGTCTTTCAACAAGTGGTGTTGGGAAAACTGGATATCCACCTGGAAAAGAATGAAGCTGGATCCTTACTTTATGCCATATATGAAAATTAACTAAAAAGGGACCAAAGATCTAAAGTAAGAATTAAAACTTTAAGACTCTTAGAAGAAAACATGGGCAAAAAGCTTCATGACATTGGATTTGGCAATGATTGGATAGGACACCAAAAGCATGGGCAACAAAATTAAAAAAAAAAAAAAAGAAAGAAAAACTGGACTTCATCAAAATTAAGAACTTCTGTGCATCGAAGTCTACAATCCACAGAATGAAAGGGCAACCTGTAGAATAGGAGAAAACATTTGCAAATCATGTATCTGATAAAGGGTTGATATCCAGAATATATAAAGAACTCTGATAAATCAACAACAACAAACAACCTGATTGAAAAATGGGCAAAGAACTTGAACAGACATTTCTCCAAAGAAGATACACAAATGGCCAATAAGCACATGAAAAGATGCTCAGTATCACTAACCTTTAGGGAAAATTACTCAAATCCACAATGAAATACCACCTTATACCCACTTAGAATGGTGACCATTAAAAACAACCACAAAAATCACAAGAGTTAGAAGGATGTGGAGAAACTGGAAAGCTTGTACACTATTGGTGGTAATGTAACATGGCAGAACACCATGAAAAATAGCACGGCAATCCCCCCAAAATTAAAAATAGGATTATCATACAATTTGGCAAGTCCCCTTTTGGATATATTCCCAAAAGAATCAAAACAGGGTTTTCAAGAGGTATCTGTACACCCATGTTTATAGTAGCATTATTTACAATCGCCAAAAAGTAGAAGCAACCCAAGTGTCCATCCACAGATGAATGGATAAACAAAATGTACTATATGCACAGAGTGGAATGTTTTTCGACCTTTAAGAGGGAAGAAATCGTGTTCCATGCTAATAATATGGATGAACCTTGAAGACATTATGTTAAATGAAGTAAGTCAACAAAAGGACAGTTCCTATATGACTCCACTTAGATGAAGTACCTAGTGTCATCAAATTCATAGAGACAGGAAGTAGAATGGTGGTTGCCAGGGACTGGCAGGGGGGCAGGGAGGGGGAGAGAGAAAATGGGAAGTTATTTTTTAATGGGTATAAAGTTTCAGTTTTGCAAGGTGAAATCTGTTCTGGAGAGGGAATGTGGCGATGGTTCCACAAGAGGGTGTGTGTCCTTAAAACCACTAACTGTACACTTAGAAGTGGCAAAGATGGTAAATTCTGTTCGGTGTGTCTTGCTAAAACTGAAGGAAACAATTAAAACAGCAACAAAAGAGAAATTTAACTCTTTTAAGAAGCCACTACGTTCTTGATCCAAATAGCTGTCATTCTGTCTTAGTTCTATGAGCTAATGGGAAGAGAAGAGTAGTAGCCCACCACTTAATAAAACCTCAAAGACTTCAAATATGGAGAGACTGGCATACCAAGCCTTTCTAATGCCTTTAATTAACTTCGTAATCCATTTTGATTCACAGTCCCTCTGCCTGGTAGTTATTCACCGGAAGTTATTATCAACTTTTCAGTAGCGATGAAAAATGTGCTACTTATCTACTATATTGGCACTTGACCTTAAATAACAGCAAATGAATAAATCAAAGCCATAGATTAGTCATGAAATAGAAAACAAAGTCTTTTTTTTTTTTTATAAAAAGAAATGTTGTGTTTTAATTTATCCGCCCCTGCTAGACCTCCAGATTCATAAGAGCAAGAACCTATCCTTTTCTGTTTGTCACCACCTAGTACATGCTCAATTAACTCCTGTCGGCTCAGTGAAGTCAGCCACTGGGCACAACCACCAGCACGTTCACATTGTCCTATCCTTACTTTTCAAACATGTCTGCTGGTTGAACTTGGTGATTTGCTGTGAATAAAATCCATGGAATTTCCAAGGAAATTCGATGGAAAATATTTTTCCATGAAGAATATTTGGGGGAAAAGTGGATGTCATAAGACACAACTCTTTGTTTTGACACAATTAACTATGGGTCCCATCACCTCTGCAAAGTAAAGAGAGGTGATCTGAAGGAGGTTAGTTGGTATATTTTGCATAGACTCCCTTCACCCCAGGAACCCCCAGGAAAGTCACGACAATGTGTGGTTCGAACTGAAATCCCCTCAGTACTGTGCATTCTCTGCTTCCTTCTAACTCCCCCAGAGTGAGCTGCCAAGTCACCTTGAAGATTTTATTCCTACTGGAACAATATCATTTTTCATAATTACGGAATTTTAATTTCTTTTATGTGAGTGCACAGCCTTTGATGTATTGAGCCAATTAACTGAAACTTGGTTAAAAATCGAAGGTAAAAAAGGGAATTTTGGTGGAAAGTAAAACAGGGCATTTTCAAAAGGAACTCAAAGTGGGAGGAGTTGTTATTGTCATTTACAAGGGGAATTTTTTTCCATTAGAAGTCCCAAACCAGGGTCTGACCTGCAAGCCAGGATGGGTCCTATTACTCCTATTCTCTGGGACTCTTCCTCCTCCTGCTGTCTCGGGTGGTGTCCGCTTCTCCACAGCGACTGGACAGTGCTCCTGGAATGAAGAATAGCCCTTCAACACCCAAACAGATGGGACACTTAGAGTTTGAAACAAACACGAAAGACAGACTGGGACTGGGTGGTCACAAACATTTATTTATTTATTTATTTTAAAGGTTTTATTTACTTGACAGAGAGATCACAAGTAGGCAGAGAGGCAGACAGAGAGAGAGAGAGGAAGCAGGCTCCCCGCTGAGCAGAGAGCCCGATGCGGGGCTCAAGCCCAGGACCCTTAGATCATGACCTGAACCGAAGGCAGAGGCCTAACCCACTGAGCCACCCAGGCGTCCCACAAACATTTATTTTTTGGTTAAACCTTGTGACACCAAAAAATGATACTTTACCTGGCTTCGCTTGTAATCAGAAGGGTCACAAGCTGTGAAGGGATGGATACACTTCCTCTCACTTTTACACCAAGCACAGCCAGTTCCAATACACCCTGGGCATCTGGCAACATGGAAAACCAACTTAATTCCTGCATATTTAGGAAAACGTCCGTAACCTAGAAATTCCCTCTGTGATGCGGGGTATAAGCATTTAAAAAACGGGGGGTACCCCAAATCCTGGACAGACTGATGAACACCCCCCCAGGGGGGAGAGAGGACAGTCCTCTGAGGCTAGGCTACAGCACTGACTTTGTGCCTGCTCTGGGCAGCCCCCAGGGCTGATGGACTGTCATCACACCTGCAGGGCTATCGCTATGGAAACCAGAAGCTCGGGATCACTTGCTGCGCTGGTAGATAACAAGAACCCACAGGCTCTGTTTCTGATTCTGGTTCTGCTGTTTGTCCACCCTCAGGTAAGTTCCCCTCTGGAGACCGACCTCCCCGTCTGCTGGAGTGATCTCACTCGCTGGAGTGGAAACACCCCTCAACTGCCCCGAAGATGCAAGACCGTAAGTATCGCCTGGCAAGTAAAGGGAAGGGGGTGTCAGAATTTGCTTTTAATCAAATTAAGGAAGAACTGCATCTACTACTTATCAAATAACCTATCACGTGGGGATTAACAGCAGAGGAGCTGAGAAGCTCGTCATAGGAAAATCGGAGTTGAAGGAACAATAGAAACAGAAACTGAGGTTGGTCTGGAAACACAGCTGCAGGAGGTCAGCCGGGATTTCGGGACAGCCAGTGCAGGGAGAGGGGACACGCTTCATATTTTACGGTCTTCCAAAAAAAAAAAAAAAAGCCAAAGTGTTCTGTGACTCTGATCTAGAGAAATGGCAGCTTCGATGGGAGAAGGAAATACGGGCTCCCTGAAAGTGTGTATCCAGCCACCTAAGTGTGCTCGAAGCAGGCTTGTGATTTGCATTCCCATCACGGCCTCTCAGGAGCGGGTCCTGTACTGAGCCCCTTTCTAAGGGAAGTAGGTACCAAGGACAGGGCATCCTCCCCCTCTGGGGGGACTGCGGGTCTGAGCAGCTGGTTCTTAATGACCTAGTTGTGGGACGGGGGCCAGTCACCTCCTTCCTCCTGGCATCTACACGGGGGAAGGGGTACCTGCTTTATGTTTCAGCTCTCTTTGAGCCATCAAACTCTTTGTAACTCTCCCCCCTTTTTTCCCATTTTCACAGACTTCTGAGGCTTTCTGTTCCAAGTCTGGCTTCTTCCCCCTCCCCAAATGCAACTAGTTTATTAGAAATAACCGAACTTGATCCCTCTTTAAGAGTGCCACAGTGGTGAAAATGGGGTCCCGGCACTCCTGTTCGGCTAGCAGTAGAGAGGCCCTCCAACTCTGTTTTGAGCCTGAACTCATCCCCCCTGACCCCCAGCAACAGTGGTTCTCAGGCCAGGCCAAAAGAAACTCGCATTCGATACCCACAGAGTCGGTCAATCAAACGACTGAATGAACTATAGAATCACTAATAATACAGTTTCCTGTTGTTTCCATGGGAACCTCCAACCCATCTTTCAACTGAAAAATCAGGAATCTGAGAAACACATTTCCTCCCTGTCTTCTCTCTGCGTTAGAAGCAAGGAGAGAGGTGTGGCCCTACCTCAGGGGGGGTACGTAGCCCAACACGGCCAAAAGTGGTATGAAAAGTTGGCGGTGGGGGGTGGGAATTAACACGGTCTTTCGATGAAAGAGATTTCATCTTGTCCTCCTCCTTGATGACTTCCCTTGCCTCATGCTCACACCCTCTTCCTTGACTCAAGTTCCCAAAGCTGTCGTTCAGATCAGGGGAGAACATTGTGGCAGCACCCCTCCCCCGAAGCCCCTCCCTGGACTCACTCCAAGGCGCCTCTTGGTCTGGGGAAAATGTATTTCCCTGTTGGTAGGATCACTTACGCCCAGTTTTTCTCCTCAGCTGCTTCACCTTCCTTATTAGGGCTAGAACGAGACAGGTTATTAGCTCAGGGGCCCCCCTATCTCCCGTTAGGCCATGCTCCAAAAGGCACTGTAGAAAGTTCTACCCCACAAAAGAGTTCTTTACGGAGGAGATGGAGGTGTAAAACAAATAAATAAATTAAAACCAATGAAAGAATATTTAAATTTCAAATAAATTCTTACTCTCTTAATGACGAGCAGTTGGTAAAGTTGAATCTTTTTGATAAACGCCAAGAACCGAAGGAGAATGTCACATTGACAACCAAAACATCTGGAGCAAAGGGGAAAAAAATGTCATTTACGGTGGAGTCCCGCTATCGTCAAGCAAAGCTGTAAATGCAAAAAATAAATATTTTTGCCTCCTTTGCATAGAGGGTGGGGCTGTGCCAGCTGCTTGCCAGCATTTCAATCAGTATGTGGTTCCTTCCCGTGGGCCATTCACGTCAGGCAGCCAAAGTGCACAGCACAAGCCTCCAAACAGACCCGGGCCCACCTCGCGTTCCAAGCCTCCCATGGATAATCACTAGGAAAAAGCCATTTTACAGCCCATTTACATCTCATCCTCTCCCCGGGATCACTATCTCAGCTTGTAATTGGCCACAGCATAAGAATAAAACAAGTCACCGAGCAAGAACTGCCTAGAACATGCTAACCAGAATGTTAGAGACGAAAATCCTGTAGCTTCAGCAACATCCACACTACCGATATTTGCCCAACAGACTCGAAGTGTGCCTCCCATGGGCCGGCTTCCACGAGCCTCTTGGAGTCCGCTGTTGCCAAATCTATGATAGAAAGTTCTCTTATTTGCTTTGGAAAACATACTCACTGGGTAGAAACCCCTCAAAAGAATAAAGTAACAAGGAAGATAAAAACCGTGCTCAATCAGCATTGGACACATGTCATCGTTCATGTATGTCCTTAACTTTTATATTGTATCCAAAGTGACTCCCCAACCCTATGGTGTGTCAGAATCACTTGAGAAACAGATGAAAACAGATCCCAGGGCCATGCTCCTTGATATCCTGAGGTAACACATGTCGAGAGCCTCTGGGACTCTGTGGTGGGGAATGTTCCCCCATGACGTGACTGTATACAGCTGGGGCTGGGTGTCACAGCCCGGAGTGGCCCCCTCAAAGCCCACTGTTTCCAGGAACCAGTGCTCCTCTCTGAGTTTTTCACTGTCATCTGGTTGGTAGGATACTGTCTTCCTTTTCTGAGTTAATGGAGACAGAGGATGAGCCTTTGAAAATAAAAGCCTTCACTTGGCCAAATAAGAAGTTGGCGTAAGTTGGTTGGCACCCCTTACTTTTCTTCGTGAACTTTTATTAGTGTGTGATTCCCAAAGTCTGAGAACCCTTACCTTCAGACACTTCTCTACAGCAGTAGAATTCATTCTAAAAGTCAGGATGCCACACACAATTCTGTCCACATAAAGTGGTTATGGGGAAAGGATAACCCCCGGCTGCAAAGACCAGGAGGTCTGAGGGCTGGAGTGACCTCACGGCAAGAGTATTGGCACAGCCACTTGTAAATGTTGGTGGAACGGACATACAGACAGGAAGCATGGAAAGACTGCCAGGGAAAACACATTTCAGTGGAATCTACAAGGTTCAGTGATGAACACCAGGAAAAGTTGCACTTTTCTTCATGTCAGCCTTGCACAAAACACTACTGGGAAATATCCCAAGGAAACGAATATATTTGATCTCTGCTCTGGTAGCATTTACAGTGATTCTATGAGAGATTAAATGGCTTAGGTGGAAAAACCCAACAATGACAGGACGCACACTCAAGGAAACAGCCCATGAGTGGTCTGAGTTCCATGTAGCACCTGCCTACCAAGATGGGGGTGCCTGTGGGGACTATGAGGGGTGCCCGAACAGCCTGGACTGTTATGAAGGAAGTGACTCTTCCTCCAATGTTTTAGAGCAAAAGGGCAACAGGATTTGATGAAAGGGGTGAGGGCATGGACAGGGCTTTGGCGATGACCACGAGCTGGGTGAGTACAGGAGGTGGGACAGGAGTGAGTTTGCTGGCTGAGAATATGCAAGGCATTCCAAGAAAAAGGCAGCAGAGGTCAGGTGCAATGGATAGAAGCTGTAAACGCGACCAAAGAGCTTTACAAGGTGATCACGAATACTTGAAAAACAGATTTTATATATGCGTAAGATCTGCATTGTAATGACCAAAATTAACTAGAAGCATATCACAAAGGCTGCATAGCGTAAACAAAGAAAAATGGAGAACTGGAATCATTTTCCAAGCTATCTGATCCCAAACAGTCACCAAGAGCCCAGAGGCTGAGAGGCATTATTTTAAGCTTGGGGCTCTGGTCTGTTGCACTAAATTCCCTCCGGAGAGATTTGGGATTAACTGAGTAACACCAGCTCTCACCCCAAAACTCCATTCCATCATGATCTTGTCCCATGTTAGGAGGCCTAACATGTGACCCTACTTCTCGTCTTTCTTGCCCACGGAGATTCATCAGTGTGTCCACAATAACTCCTAGCTATCTCTGGAATCTGTCCACTTCTCTCCATCCCTGTCTGTCTCGGCACCCGTTCTCACGGTCCCCCGCACCGGGATCACTCCAATGGCTTTCCTTCTATCTGATTTTTCACAGCTCACTCCTTTCCTCTTCTAGACATCCTCCATCTGTGACAGGCCACTCATTCATTCATTCATCAAAAATTTATTGATTGTAAATGGCTCTTTATACCAGACACTGTGTGCCTTCTTTGGTGTCTATTTTCTATCATTCTGCTTTCCATCTGTCCCTACCCCATTTGCCTGAACCACATAGAACCTCTTTTGGCTCCTCAAACAATGCCTTTACTCTTTTACTAGCCATCATAATAGTTGGTCTCTGCCTGGAACGCTCTTCCCCCTTTTCTGTGGCTCCCCTCTGTTCATCCTCCAGGAAGATTTCCTCATTCCGTCAGCCACCACCCAGGTTGTTAGGTGCCCCTTTCCTCCACTTCCCACGGATGTCTGTGCATTCACACAACCGCATTGTAACAAGTCGTCTACTTGTCTCCACCCCCAGCTGTCTCTTTCGGTCACCATATCCCCAGCACCTAGCACAGTGGCTGGGCCATAGTAGATATTCGAAAAATACATCCTTTCTGAATGGATACAATGATGTTAAGATGATAGAACATTAGCTGTTCTATTTTCTCATCTTGTCCAGGGTGTTCCCAGCTTTTCTGATCTCTGAATTACCTGAGCCCTTTGGGTAGGGTCAGCCCAATGGTCTCTAGCTTTACCCCATGGGTGTCTCCAGCACCCCCTTCTGCTGTCATCCTCCACTCACACGGAAGGGGGGATGCTGGAGTCCTAGGAGGAGGGAGAGCCAAGGGGAGCAGCCAAGGGGAGGGGGGTAGGTAGAGCGGGAGGTAGGCAAAGACTGAGTCTATGGGGGAGGGAGGCTAGACACACTCCCTCCCATTCAACTTGCTTCCTGGGCCATCTGTGTTCAGGAGGTTCTCTTGCTTTCTTCACTTACAGACAAAAAAACCAGCCAAAAGTCCACCTACCTTTGTAGGTCACTCTCGTGGGAATGCTGCACGTGCAGGGCTTGCTTGCTGGACTTTTATCCCCGCAGAGCTGCCTGCCCGTGTCGGCGCTCTTCACCGCGCACTCCCACTCCGCGCGCCTGGGAGGGAAGCTTCCCACCACAGTCACTGTAGTCTGTGTGGGAAAGAAGAAGATTCAGGAACCATGTCGTTGTTTCCGTACCCTCTCCATCCATCCTCGAGCCTTACATGAACTCACCCTCTGACATGCCAGACAAGGAGAACTTCTCAGACCGGTGATGTAAAGAAAGAGACGTTTCACCCACTATTTGCTTTGCCCTTCTGTGAATCTCATATTCCTATTCTCGGACCTTTTTTCTGCTCTGTGTGTATTTTTCTTATCAGTTTTCAAGAGAGCTCTGTAGAGATATTAATCCTTATCTGTCATATTTCTGACACATGTTTTCTCCTAATCTCTTTGTCTTGCAACTTGTACATGTGGTTATCTTTTACCCCACACGACGTTTTTATGGCATCATGTTTTTGTCTTGGTTTTAAAGTTATTCCCAAACTTTAGCTTATAGACAAGTATAAAATTGTTCCACCATCTTTGTTTTTTTTTTTTTTTAACTTCTATCTATAACCTATCTGGAAGGTATTTTTAAGTATAGTATGAGATAAGAGTCCATCTTTACTTTTATCCAGATGGTTAATCAGTTATGTCATAACCACTTACTTAAAAAATATCCTCCTTTTCTCACTGACCTGAAATACTGCTTTTGTCATATATTAAATTACCATGTATCTGGAATCTATTTCTGAATTCTGCCCTGTTCCAATTATCTATTGATTTACTTCTATCCTAATGTCAAGCTTTTACTACTGTGATTTTAAATATATTTAACATCTGAAAAGGCAAATATCTATCTTTATTTTTATAATTTTCTTAGCATCTCCTAGACATTGCTCTTCCATATAAATTTTAAGATTATCTTACCCAAACTGGGTGGGGAGACAATGAGTTTAATTGGAATTGTATTAAGTATATGCAACAGTTTTAGGAGATCTGATATATTTGTGATATTAAGTATTCCCATCCAAACACGTGATTTTTTTTTTTTCCATTTGTTTCTGTTTGGGCCAGGGTTTATTTAAGAAGTTGGACCTTGATTTCCTGGGTGTTAAGATACATTTTTCATTTCTTTATTTCTTACTGGTACTGTTATTAGATTATAGTTAAGGAAGGAGACCTATGAAATCTATTTAAAATTAAGGATTCATTTGCAGGCAAACATACAATCAGAGTTTTGGGGGTGGGAGGCTATATGTATGTGTGTGTACACAGATGGAAACAAAGAGAAAACTTTGAAATTTCCCCTAAAGCAACTTCTTCCCAAATGAATTATCTAAACAAACTAAGCAGCCAGTTCTCATGTTGAAAGAGGAAAATTATCCCACCACAAAAAAGGAAATACAGTGTGATGGGATAGAGATGTTAGTTAATGTTACGGTGGTAATTGTATGGCAATAGATCAATGTATCAAACTAACCCATTTTACATCTTAAATTTATACAATGTTAGGTGATTGCATTTCAGTTAAAAAAAAAAAAGAAAATGAAGGTTAGGGGAAAAAAAGGAAATTCAAGGAATTAATACACCAGTGGTGGACTCCTTTGGCAGCGGGTCCATGAAGGGGATCTGGTGGGAAGGTGGGCTAAGCATTAGAAAGACGGGAGCAGGGGAAGTGGTAACTTGCCAGCTATGATGAAGAGCCATAGTCCCAGACACCCTGGGAGGTGTTCATCTTCTGTTACACTTCTGACTTTCACCTGGACTTTCCAAATGGCCAGCTTCAAACTCTGCTGTCTGTTGTCCTTGAATCAGCTTGCTACATCTAATCTAGTCCTGGGGTCAGCACCATCTTTCCATTTTCAAAACATTCTGTTTCTCAGCCATAAAAACTTGCCAGAGAAGGCAAGTTCTTATAATCCAGCCTTAACTAGACTGAAGTCCAACCATCTCTAGCAGACTAGAGCATAGCAACGAAGCCCAGACTACTCCCACTAGCTCACCTCCAATAAATGGCTGAGCTCTCATTCACGCTGCTTTCTTCGACCCAGATGCACACACATCTCAACACATGATCATATATTATCCTGTATGCATACAGGCCTTAAATTTATTTCATTACTCAAATGCTATAACAACAGAATCAGAAATTCTTGTGAAATCAAATTTTCCGTATTTCCTTCCAATTCTCACATGGCTTTTACGTAACCATAATCATTGCATTTATTGGTTCCCTATTTATCAACCTCTTAAAATGCGCCAAGGGCGGTGCAAGGTGTTAAGTGCTTTAGTGAACAAAATAGCTGTGGTTCCTGCCCTCGAAGAGCTTATAGTCTAGCAGAAACATGGGGATGTCACCTTTCAGAAACTGGATGGCCATCTGGTGTGAAGAGATCTCCAAGATGGGATAGAAGCCTGGACTAGGATGGTACAGTAGAGAAGGAAAGAACGGACAGATTCAGGATACCCTTTAGCAGTAGCATGGGGCAGGACGAGAAGTAGAGCATGTGGATATGGAGGATTTGGGTAAGGAAAACGGATGGAAAGAAGTACCGTGTACTGAGATGTGACATACCGAGGGAGAGGCAGACTTTGGGAGGAAAATGCAAGATTTCAATTTTGTTTGACTGTAGTTCAAGATAGTTGTGTAATAATCAAGAGATAGGTCACGTTAGATATGGGCCTGGAACTCAGAGGAGCAATCTGGGCTAGAGATAAAGGAGACAATGAACACAGAGATGAGATATGAAGACCAGGGAGTGGATAAAATGGTCTTTAGAGAAAGTAGAGAGCTAAAGACAGGAAGAGTCCAAACCGGGTCTAAAACAACTCCAGTATTTAGAGTCAAGGAGAGATGAAGCCAGCAAGGGAGGCTGAGGCATGGCCAGAGAGAAGGAAGAGAGCATGGACAGGGTGTGCCAAGGGAGGGAGGGCAATGGGAGAGGAGGTTTCAAGAACACAGCCAACAGACGAAGTAAGAGGAGAACTTACAGTGTCTGTTGGAAGGCTACAAGGAGTTCACTAGTGACCTCAGCAAGAACAGTTACAGGGAACCCTGGAGCAGAAGCCAGGTTGGAGCTGACCTGAAAATAGCAAGTTTTTCCAAGTGCAGTGGAAGGAGAGTGTAGCCAGGGACCTGAAGGTATTTTTGTGTGGGTGTGGATTCCAGGCAAGTAGGGATAAAAAGCTGACACCTGGCTTAATAAACCCGACTGGGGAATCCTTACCAGGTTGACAGCTCCTTCCCCAACTAAGCTGGATAGAGAGAGAATGAAGACACAAAGAGTCAAATGAAATAGAGAGTTTGAATGTCAATTAGCTGGTAATTCCCCCAGAGCCAGAGAGCTTGCTGCACAACATTCTAGCAGGTTGGCAGACCTTATTTTACTTAACCATTCTGCTTATTGCCAAACAGTGTGGTTATTTCCAGGTTTCTCAGTCTACAAAGCTACTGAAATGACATCTGCATGCTTACATTTTTGCTTCTTTCAAGTTACTTCTTCAGAATTTAAAGCCTGGAATTAGCGTTTCAAATAAAATGAATGTACTTATGACTTTTGAAACAGAACAGCAAATTGCTCTCCAAAAAGGCTGTACTAATTGGCATTGCCAATGCCAGATGTTAACATATCTTATCACTTTAATTTGTATTTATTAGATAGCTAGTGAAGTTGAACATATTCCCCTAACTATGTCTAACTCTCTAAACCTCCTCTTGTGAGAATGTAAGCTTTTGCCCACTCTTTGGTGGCCTGGTGTTTATCTTTTTAATTTCTCCTGAATTTAATATCTTGCAATGAATAACTTGCCTGCTGCAAATGTTTTCCTAAATTGTGCTTTAGTTATCTTTCTTGTTGTATATTTTTAAATGACAAGTATATGAATGTTTTCCCTTTGTTATTGCATACTACATTGCTTCAGAGCTAAGAAAATTATACTTCCAATTATCTGATGCCCATTTCTATTTTCTGTTTTTTAGTGTTAGCTTTTTCTATGAATTTCTTAATTAGCTTAAATTTTTATATTTAATGTAAAATGTGAATTAAGTTATGTTTCCATATGGTAAGTCTGTTACCTCAGCCTCTTTTAGGAAATAATTCTTTTGTTCCTTCTTAGTTTATGATATCTGATCTTACAATTTTTACATTTATTTCTGAGCTTTGTAGCCTATTCCCACGATCTATATTCCTACTTTTAAACAAAATCATGGGTTGAGTTATTGTCGCTATCTACAAGTTTATATGGAAATGGTCTAGCTTAAATACATTTCTGTTTTTCCAAAATACATTTTGGATATTCTTGACCAGTTCTTAGTACTCCAGCTGAAATTTATATTACTTTTAAGAAAAAGTCTATTCAAATATTCACTGGGATGACATGAAATCTAGAAAATAGGTTGAGGAAGAAATGACATTTTTATGATATCTTACTGCCCAGATACGTAGTATGTGTCTGGATGTATTCAAGATGTTTTTTCCTAACTTCCAAGAAAATACTTTGTGTGTTTTTGTTTTTATTTTTATTTATGCTTTTTTTTTATTGGTAAGGTTTCCCTATCATGAGTTATAAACAGCTGCAATAGATCACTGTCCCACTAATTACCGTTAGAAAGAACTGTTTAAGGCAAGCTATTACATAGCCCAAATTGCTGTTTTTGGTAGCTGTCTTCAATATGTATCTTCCAGTAAAAGTGATTTTAAAATATAGGGTATACACCTCACCCTTTAAGTTCATGCCTGAGTATTTTGGTTATTGTTGATGAATGGGATCTTTTATTAATTGACCTTAACTCCTTTACCTCACTTGATGTTATTGATATTTGAATGTTTGTTGAACATTTAGCACTTTTATTTTACTTTTAATTAGAGTAATTTTAAAAGCTAATATATTTAGACTTGGAAGATATACAACCACTTCAGATGAGCAAATAGGGATACTTTTTAATCTATTCCTTTCCCATAGCTATATCTTACTTGTCTCTTGTGTTACAGCACCAAACACAACTTTAAAAACAATGCTCGTTGCATCAGTAATGGTGGAATTCCTTGTTTTCAATCTGATTTGTAAAAGAATGTTTCTAGTGTTCCTGCCTTAAGAGTCCTGTTGTTTGTAGGAGATACTTCTAGTTCTATGTCTTTTCTGTTTTTATTAGTGTTAGCCATTTTCACTGATTGTTACAATCTCTTTATAGGTATACAAATGATTTTGCATAATGCAAAAATGGGATGTCACACATCCTTTTTGTGTTTGTGTATGTGAGAATTTCATTTTTCTTTTTTTTTCCCTACTTGTCTCAGCCTTCCCTCTCACCACATCATCAGTCCCGCCATCAGGAGAGCCCATTTTTACGACCTAGTAAGAATTCGTTCATATTTTTTCTTCATGCGCAAATAATTATATAGAGACATAAACATATACAGTAGATCATGCTATATCAATAGCATATCATATATGCTATATGTATCAATAGCATATATTGAGTTTTTGATCAATACAAGATCATGCTACACATACTTTTCTGCATCTTGCTGTTTTTGCTCAACAAAACCTCACGAAATCCCTCCAAGCCAACTGGAATTGCTCCAATTATTTCTTGTTAATGCCGATTCTGTAATGAGGATGAGGATATACAATCTTCTAATTGTTTTGTGTAAAGAGATGATGCTTCTTGGAAGCAGAGGCTCTGCATTATATCAGGGTCTTTCTGGACTCAGAAAGCTACTAGAATGTTACTAGGCATATGATGGGCAGGTAGCCAATACTCTTTGACCCAAGCTATAGACAGCCATCTCTGTAGATCAGGGTCCGTTATTACTTAAATCAACAAAGATCTGGAACTTTCAGGTAAGTCACAGATGACCACAAAAGTAGGAAATATTTTCAGACAATATGACTAAGAGATGGCATCACATGTCTTATCAATGTTATTAAAATAATCAGTCCAAAGTTGGTTTCAAAGATGAACTTTACTCAGATTACTAAATTCTTATCTCCTTTACCTTGAGAGCAATGGTAGCTGGAGAGCGAGGTAATGGTTGTGTGGGAAGCTTCTACAGGGATTTGGGTAAACCACAGTGGGACTTGGGTAGAGAAGAAAGCACTAGTGGTTGTCTGGGTGGTAAATATTTTTTGCAATGTTCCAAACTAGATAGACATGGTGATTAGTTTATACCAGCGAACCCAAAGATTGGTAAGCAAATTGCATAAGCAGCATCTTTCATACAATGAACAAGCTACTTTCTCTTACTACACTGAGCTGAAGTAGCACCCTTAAAATTTTCAAAATCATTTTTAAAAAATCTTGCATAATCTTAACCATTTATCAGAGCCCTGGGTGTATTCAAACATCATGTTTTTTTTTTTTAATCATTCTCTATCAGCACCAAAGTTAGCTATTTTTCAGACTGATAAGAGAAAAATTTGACCACACCTATGCTGAGATACCTAAGCATGTTCTTCACACAATTTTTTCAGTCTGACTCAGGGCTGGTGGAGTATTGGATGAAAGCTTTGAAAGTTCTTTTTTCACGGCCTCCCCCCCACCCCAACCTGCCGGAAGACAATAGAAAGTGGTAACAGCCAAATAACTTTAAATCTGTAAGTTCTGATCAGTTATGACTTGAAAGCTTTATTCTTTTATTATTTATCACTCATTAAATGCTTTGGCTCTCCTTTATTAAATGTTAAATCATCTTAAGTGGTATGGTTATTGCTATTTGAAATGGCAAAGTGTACAGGAAAAGAGAAAGTGGCCCATTTCCTTGTTAATGTGGCATTCAAATAAAACAGAGCGAGCTCGACAGACAGGTCAACTGGCTGCTGATGGGGACTCTGTACAATTATTCATAATACAAGAACTATAATTAGGGAGAAAATGTCTCCTTACAGCACTGCTGAGATTACAAGGCAGGAATTCCATATTCCCGTAGGGCATGGACGGTGCATGAACGAGATGTTTGAATCATATGCTTCTCATTGAGTCCTTTGTCTTGGCCAGTGACAGGGCGGAGGGACTGCCAATGGTGGTATGGCCATAACAAGAGCCCACTGGCTTTCCAAGGGACCCCACTTGCAATATTCACTGGCCGTGGTGGTTTCTTGCCCTCTCTCCCGGTACTGCTTAAAGCCATGTATATAAGACAGTTACCAGGAGAAGCCTGCATGAATTAGGGGAAGGACCATAAAATAACATTCTATCCTTAAGTCACATTTAAGTAATCTTTTTGACCATGAATCTGCACTTTCTTCTTTTTTTTAAACAATACATTTTTCTACTACATTAATAGTTCGTTGTTTTTTTTTCTTTAAATTCAATGAATAAGGGTAGTCTTCAGCTCTACAAGACAACAGACTCCATGAGGGCAGGCTCACCATCTGTCTGTTCTCTGCTATTTCTCTAGCATCTCGCCCAGAATATGGCATCTGCCAGGCATTTAGTATTAGTAACTAAATGAATGGACTCTCCTAACTAAGCTTCTTTAATGCTAGAAGATATTTCACACACAGAAGGAAGTTAGCATCAGTTGTGCAAAATGAGACAACAGAGACAAATTATAATCTTTCCTCTTACCTTATCTTTACTGCTTCGAAATAGGTTAATTTGAGGGCAATTTTTAGCTCCCGACGAAATATCCAGCCAGTTTTCATGGTTCTCTGGGTGTACACAATCTTCTTTAAAAGTACACCTATCCAAAAAAGGAAAAGGCAACAAAACAGCAACCCCACACATGCATTAGTTAAAGCTTCTCATACTTGGCTTCAGTACAGAATGGCAGGCTCTGTGCAGAGGGTTATTGATTTTGAGTGAGAATGGGAACGTGATGCTAAAACCATGAAAAGCAATGGGACCAGAGCAGAGCATTTTTTCCATCATGTCTACAAGCAGAAAACCAATGCAGAAAACACGCTGAACTTTGGCTCTTGTGGCCTCTCTCGGGATGACATCATTAAACACACCCAAAGCACATCCTCTCATGGATTCTAAAATTAAAGAGCTCCCTTCGAGAAAAACCTGGGTGCAAAGGACAAGTCCAAGAAAGGGTTTACATATTATATAAATTTTAGGTCTGGGGCTCATTCCCAGAATCTCAACCTACTGTGGGAATCTTTCTGTTATTAAGATACTAATAAGGCCATCTTGTGCTTTGTAGTCTGAGAATTAAATATATATATTTCGAGGGCAGAGTCTTCCCAAGAATGTGATAAGCCATTCTATAACCATCTGCTACAAAGCATTTATTTAGACAGACACCCAATTATATAGAAAGATATGGGGACAACACTTTCCAGGGCCACTTTCCCAAGTCTGTCAGCGCAGAGGATGTCCCAAATAAATCTTAAGCTGTGGTTGGGGCCAAGTCCTCTAATAAACATGACCGGGAGCTAAGGGGCGGTGGGGTGGGGTGCACTCCTTTGCTGGCTGTCTTGGCCACTCTAGGTCACGCTCACTTGGGAGCTCCTGCCTCACTGGAAGGGCCAGCAACCTGACAAAAAGAAGGAACAGCAAGGGCCGTGTTATGTTCAAAAGCCTTGAACTCCACAACTGTTCTATTGGATAATATCAAGAGACCAGAACATCCCTGTTATCTAAGCCTCCTCAAGGCCTGAGGTTAAAATGGAGGGGTTGAGGAGATCCAGCAACCGTGAGTTTGAAAAGAAATGGAAAATTCATGAATCACAAGATCGAAAAGCAGCCAAGTGATAAAGGCATTCATCTGTGGGGAGTCCCTCCAAGGGTCAGAGAGGGGCGGGATGTGGTCCCTGAAAGGGCATCAGACTTCACAAGCATTTTACTTCCTCTTCTTCCTCTCCTCTCCTTTTTCAATTTGTACGAATGTAGGCCCCATGGCTTCATCTCTGAGCTCTGTGCTGATTTGAATATGACAAAAATAGAACAGGAAGCCAGTGAGTTTCATTAAGCATCATCCTCGGGCACAGTACTTTGAGCAAGGGTTGGGGAACCCTGTTTGCTGGGAGCACATCTGCGTCCAAACTCCCCTACGTCTGTGTGGGCTCCTTCTCCAATGTCCTGACCATGGGGATTTTCATCAGCACTTTTCCAAAGCCATCAATTCCTCCGACCCTTGATGGCTAGCTCGTCCGTCACGGACATTAAGTTCAAATTAAACGGCCTGTCGGTATCAGGGAGCATTTGCCACTGAGGGATGAGTGTGGCTGGATTGAAAAACAGGATGACGGAGCTGGTTTCTTATTCTATGTTTGAAAGGGGTTATGACTGTCAAAAGTCCCAGCCTCTCCTGGGCACTCTGGTTTGTCTAAGGCTCTGTCTGTTTGAAAACAAAACAACAAAAAGCCCGTTCTGGAGAGACTGGAGTACAAATATTGTCATGGGCTCTTAATGCCTGGAAGTCAAGGCCTAAGGCTGCCAAAAAAACAAGTGCAAGATATTTCATACAAATAGTGCTGTAGTGTGCCAATTTGTAGGCAGAACACAGTAGTGCCACTGAGTTATCACCCCCCCCCCCACCGCTTTGCTGAACTCCTATAGCATTTCTTGTCGGAACTACACATTTTGGTATTTAATCATATGCTGTGTTGAATTACAACTTAACTGTTTCATATGTTGCTGTCATCTCCCCCCACCCCCAAGTAAGCGCTAAGCTCCTCAAAGGAAGGGAGAATGACTTTAAGATTTCTTCTACAAATCCCTCAGGGTCTGGCAGCACGATATGCAAATACTGGGGTCTCAATAAATATTTCTGAGTGGACGGATGAACTATGAAATCTCTATAGGTCCTCTCTGTGGGTGCTTTTTCTTTCCAAAATTTTCTTCTAATTTATGTCTGACTCTTCCTTATGACAAAGAGACTGTTTTTAATAGAAGCTCAAAGTTCCAATCTGGGGCCAGAGAGGAAAGAGATTAGGAGTTTCCAGTTTATCTTTGGGGGGAAAAAAAAGAAAAAATACATAGCCAACCTTTTAGTTCCCATTTTGTACAAGGTAGAAACAAAATCTAACCATATTAAGCAACTAACATAAGTTTCTTGCTTCTAAAACACCTCTGAAATTTCTAAACTCCCATTTCTTGCTTCTCGCCAGTAAAAATAATAAATTTTAAAAAATGAAATAGCAAACCGTGACACCAAGAATGTACAACCAGATGGTCAACCAACAACAGCATCTTATTACTTCTCCAATATTGCAGATTATAAAACCTTCATGACAGCACGTTACCCACACATTCACATTTCTTCAGGAGCGGGAGATCTTATAGCCCCCACATTTGAATAAAATAAAAGCAGTTATTTTGAAATTATCCCCTCCTATGTATCACAAAAGCAATGGTCAGGTGGTGTAGACACTTAAACCTTTGCCCAAATGAAATTAAAACCTCGTGGTCAGACACAGCTCTCTGTGAGGCTGTTCCTCAGTGACGTGCTCTCAGGTTCGCTGATCTCTTAAGTGGCTTCATTTCAATTTCTTCAGGCGACAGATAAGGGGACAATGGGATTTGGATTAGACTGGGCATGGCAGGCAAATGACACATTTGCTTCCCTTCCTCTGTGTTACCGCTCAGGCCCCATCCTCTACTGAGGGTCTCCCCGGAAGCCCTAAGACTCCCAGTCACTGTTCTCTTTTTCCAGTCCTTATTTCCATCTGATCTCATGCCTACACCATAAGGCCAATATGTAGACATTCGCCTGCTTGCAAATCAGGAAACACTGAAGAACACAAAACAAAACCCAAACCAAAAATTTTTTAAAAACAGAAAACCATTTTCTTTAGGTGAAAAACACAGTACATGGAACTACCTTAGTGAAAAAAAATAGTTAAGAAGGCTTAGTCTGATTAGTTTCTATGAAATCTGCTGTAAAGCTTCATCTATTCAAAACAATAACAGAGGGGCGCCTGGGTGGTTCAGTTGTTAAGCCTCTGCCTTTGGCTCAGGTCATGATCCCAGGGTCCTGGGATCCAGCCCCGCACTGGGCTCTCTGCTCAGCCGGGAGCCTGCTTCTCCCTCTCCCACCCCCCTGCTTATGTTCCCTCTCTCGCTGTGTCTCTCTCTGTCAAATAAGTAAATAAAATCTTTGAAAAAAAAACCCACAAAACATAACAAACAAACAAACAAAAACAAAACAAAACAATAACAGACCACGACGTTGCCCACTCAACTATATGAGTGCATGAACCAGCCCCTCCGTCTCCCCCCAACTCATGACAAAACTATGTTCAAAACCCATCCAGGCTTCAACTCTTGAACAGAAAGGTCCCAGGCACTTGTTTCTAGGTTTGCTCTTCAGAATCCAGAAAGTACTTTTTTTAAAAAAATTTATTTGACAGACAGAGATCACAAGTAGGCAGAGAAGCAGGCAGAGAGAGAGGAAGGAAAGCAGGCTCCCTGCTGAGCAGAGAGCCCGATGTGGGGCTGGATCCCAGGACCCTGGGATCATGACCTGAGCTGAAAGCAGAGGCTTTAACCCACTGAGCCACCCAGGTGCCCCCAGAGAGTACTTTTATAGTATGGGTTTGCTTCCCAAGTTCGTGGAAATCTGTCTAAACTCAAATATCAGTGAGTAACATGCCCAGCATGCACCTGTCCCATCCCAGGCACTGGCCTGCATGCTTATAGGCCGCACTCCCACGTTAGTCCTCCCAACCACCTCCTTCTTAAGGCATGAAATAGAGGCTCGGGGAAGTGAGATAATGTGCCAACGTCACACAGCCACAAGCGACAGAAACCTGCCTACAGAGCCACCCACTTGGTCACCCATCTGCGCGGCCTCCTATGAACCTTAACTACCCACTTAATAAGGTGTGAAAGGGTAAAGACATTCAGGGTGCCTGCTGGCTTCCTGGGGCCTCAACAGGGGTGGGGGAGGGTGGGGCTGGGCCAGGATGAGTGCCCCGGGGACTGACATTAGAGAAGGTCAGGCAGAGTCTCCAGGTTGAAAGGACAGCAAGGACTTGAGGGGGATAGGGGGATTCTGAGAGGCCTCTGATTTTCATCTATCCCTAGCCCTAAACACAAAACATCCATCTACAGGTTAAAATCCCAGGAGTCCCCCAATTTACAAACCTATTGTGCCCGCCCCCCACCATTTTGCTTGTTACCCATCTGTCTGTAATATGGACTACATCTTTCTCCCCACAGAAATAATGTTATAAACAGTGATTAGGTCCCCGGTTTAGCCCACAAAACCTATTTATCCATAATGTAACTTCAAGGCTGTACATTTGCAATAAAGAGTAGCAGGAAACAATGCGACTGCGGCCATTTGCATCGTATAACAGTTTTCTCCTACCTTACAGATTTGTATTTTTGCTCAGCTGGTAGTCTGGGAACACTGCCCAGCTGGATCGACTTTTAAATTTATTACTACACTATTATATTTATACATTATTTCTGGTTTTTTAATGGGTAGGATTTAAATTATTAATTGTCTTCATGCCAGCATAAAGAACAGGGAGACCCACCTCTGAAAAAAAGAAAAAAAAAACCTGAAGTTCCCAGGCAGATAAAATGCCTGTGGGCTGGGGAACCTTGGAATCTGACTCTATCAGGCCAGAAAATCTCTCTCTCTTTTTTTTCTCGTTCAGTGAGAGGTTATTGGTCCTTACCACGACATCTCAGCTACCAAGGTAAATGTCACATACATGACTGCTGTTAAAAACTTGTAAAATGGGGCACCTGGGTGGCTCAGTGGGTTAAAGCCTCTGCCTTCGG